TGAACATCGCAGGGTTACCAATCCGCCTGTCCGATTGATTGTTGTTTTTTTAGTCGACTTACGATTTGATCCGTTGTATGTGTTAGACATCTGATGGTTACAGGCACATGTGTAGGCTGTATTATAGCAAACCACACCGATAACTTAAGTGCTTAGGTATCAACAGACGGTCTATTTTGGAGCCTGAATGTCGAAATTGACCTTTACATTTGAGATCTATTTTGATGTTTTTGTAAGCCAGTGCGTGTCCGCTCGCATACAAGAAAAGGAGTAGCAAGTAGTTCCGAAGAGTGTAGGTCTATTCTGGTTGAAGCATTCAGTTCGTCGGAGCCGTATACATTTCCAAGATAAGAGAGTAGTAGACCTTGTTTAATTTATCATATTATATTCAAACAACCACTGCGGAAATCAACGTCTGTAAGGGTGCCTATTAGGTTATTCATACTCAGGCTTTTCGGTAATATGCGGGCTGAAAAGACAATGAACAGTTAAAAACAAGTAGAGGTGGTAGGAGATAGAGTTTGAATGTTTTGCCATTCATATATTTTAAATCGAGTTCCACAGCCAAAAAGCCTTCACCACTCGAAAGTCATTGAAAGACATTTAACCACTTGCTGCAATTCTGCTGCACTTTTTAATGATCACATGCTGTTTATTTATCGTTGACAACTCGAAGGAGGCCCATTACAGGTTGTGTCAAGACTTGTTTGTGTAAACTCTAAGTATATTAATAACTCACAAAACCGGTAAAATAATCAGTGGGATCGGCCGCGGTGGATGACAAAACCAAACAGCCCGTCTATTTCCGTCACATACGACATGGTCCCCATATCATGTAATGAGATTTCAGGAGGAGAACGGCTAGAATCTCACATCAGAGAGTGCCATAGAAAATAGTGTGGTCCTTAGCCATAAAAATAACCGAATCATCTCGTCAGTTCCCATCATCCCACTCCACGAATTTCAGGGCTTTGGGATGGATTCGAGCCTATCAGATTTTTCATAGTAGGTAATGCGTTAACATACTTTTTAGATGGATTCAGTGGTATCAATCTCGTCATCTTTTTCCTCTCCTATGCACTCTTTGGTTGCCTGAACCTGTCAACCATCTGGTGTTGGGATTGAACGCAGTAGGTTAGGCGATGTGAGGCTTGTCTGTAGGCAAGTCCCCCAATGTGCGGCAGTAGTTATGAACCTGCGCAGTCTGCGCCACCCGATTAACGCGGGTCGCGGCCCGATTTGAGCCCCTTTTTGGTCTAGCGCAGTCCGCTGGGTAGGACTCTTTGACTTTTTTGCATCTACCTGACTCAAGTTCAAATTTCTGCCTTGGCTTGAGTTACGACTAGCGCTGATACTAGATATCGCGTTGTATCATTTTATGTATTCTTAAATAAGTGTTTTTATTAGATTTAGTACTTCACTATCTAGGCGCACCGTAGTTTCGTTTTTCATAAGTGTCATGTTCAAGGCAAATATTTCCTTCCTAATAACAGGGCCTACCTTGTCTGTCATAGAAATTTACTTCAGACATTCGGGCGGAGGACAGTTGAAGAACAGGTTGTCTGCAAACTGTCGCCACCGACAACTAGAGTAGGGTCTCTTTCTGTTTACTGGGTATTTGTACTGTAAGTCTCGTCTCCTCAACCGGATTTCGACTAGTAAAGGGCTGTTTTTCAGATATTGAGTACGATGTTCTTTCATGTTTACCAGTAAGCAATTTGATCTTGAAAACTTATTTGTCGTGTCCGATATGTTTGCCTTCAGGCTTGTTGTAAAATCTGTTTTTCCTTCTGACTTCTTCAGATGCTCAATTACGAAGAGATTGATAAGTACGTCCAGGCCATTGAAAAGGAACGGGAGGAAGAGGCCGAAAAGAAGAAGCAGAAAAAAGAGGCAGCTGGCGGATCTTATTAATTTTGTTTTTGCCAATTTTCCACATGCAAATACACATATATATAACGAACAATAAAACAATTGTTGTGCCAACGTATGAGTCTGAAAGTTGCATCCTGCAAGATGGGGGAGCAGGCGGTGTAAGAAGCCGAAGAACTTTAAATTTTAAATAGTATACAAAGTTTCAGTCCTCGTCGCTTCCTGTAATGCCAAGGTCGACAACATTCTCCTCTACTGAGTCGGCATCAGATATGGTCTCCTCTTGGCTTGCCGGTTTGTTCATTTCATGACTGGCCATGGGCATATCAAGGGCTCTGAGAATGCTCAGTTGGGTTGCTTTGTCAAGGTATGCCGTCACGTCTGCCTTTCCTTTGAGGCGCTCTTTCATGTCTTGCATACAAGCGTAGGCCTGTTTGGATGAAAAAAGCTTAATAGGCAAGGTATTTCTGTAGATGCAGAAAACAGTATATCTATACACGTCTCGGCCTACATCCCCTTTGTTTTACTTGGCTTGGTAAAGAACTTTATCGGAGTCAATGACTGTCCGTAGGATGCGGTGTAAATACTGAACTTAACTAAACTTTTCCCGATTTTCCTTTTAAGTCCAGGAGGAACCGAATCACTTACGCTAGGGTTACATATAATAGTAAACTCGATAGTTTGCCTGAAAGTCCTGTGGTTACTGAATCATGATAAATATGTGGAGGACTCAAACTCGAATAGCTCAGTTTGTTTATTTCCCTCTAAGGGAGGCCGGGTTGACGGACACAACCGTCGTTAAGGTCTAATAGATGTATTGCCACAAAGAGAACCTCAATGCAATCGAACTGACTGCTGAGAGGGCTGGAGGCCACTGTACACTACTACAGACGCTATCAGCCACTGTGCCAGAACAGTATATGACACGTCTCCACCCACAATTTACATATTACTTTCTCAAGTCTCCGATTTTGTAGACGTGCATGTTTTTAAGTGCAGTGGAACTTCGGATGACGAGAAGCTCCATCTCAGAGCATTTCAAGCAACTAGCGAATTACTCGCAGACAATTTGTTTCAATCGGCGAACTTCTGCTGAGTTAACGAGTCGTCAGTGCCTGTGTCCGCCGTTGAGTCTTGCTCCCAGGGCGTGGGTCCTTGGTCGCCTGCGGCCAACCAGTGAACTAATATAGTTTGATCGGCCAAGTTTCACATGACGAGCTCGGAGCTGGAAAGGATTAAACTCCTTAACCGAGATTCCACTGTACTCCGAATGACCGAAACCAAGCTGATTCGACAGAACATTATTGTTAGCATGTTTTTTGTTCCACACAATATCCCTCGGTGACTCCTACCCTTCGGTACGCACACAGAATCTTATCTGGGTAAAAATACCGATCGACGTGGAGTTCACAATCAACTCCGTTTTTTCCTGTGA